ACTCAATGAGTGTCCAGTTGCTGGGGGAGTGGGACTCAGTGGGGTGGGGATCCAGGTGCGGATGGCTCATCAGGGGTCCACGTGCAGGGGGAGTGGAGCTCCTGGGGGGTTCTGAGTATGTGTGTGGGGGGTGAGGCTCCGCACAGGGGTCTAGATGCACGGGGGTTGGGCGAGCAGCTCCCTGTATAGGGATCCCTCCCCCTGTAGCTAAGGAGCAATGGGTACAGGAGGCAGGGGGAGTTTTCAGAGCTTCCTGCAGCCGGGGGAGAAATCTGGGAGTGGGTCTGACCCAGCCCCAGATGCCATGCAGACGAAGAGGAAGTCCTGTCTTCCCCAGCCCAGCTGTGACTAGCGGCTGAGCCTGGCACAGGGTAGGAGCCACCAGCCGCGTCTTCCCCAGTCCTGCCTCCTGCCCCACAATGATTTACCTCTCTGCCGGCCGCCTTGGGCACCCAAAACACGTGCACAGTGGCGCAGAATTCCCCTAGGAGTAAGTTATGCAGGATTTTTCAGAACAGTACCACACTTTATTATTTCAGGGTTCTAAACCACATCCTAAAATAACCAACCAATTCAATTTAATCTATGAGGATTGGACCTGTTCAGTACCACGGCTTACAATTCAACTCACCCATCTAAGTTTTGAAGTTATCCAGCCAACTTTGCAGTCCCCTTAACCTTGTCTTTTCCAGAGGCTCTACCCCTCCTTTATACATGCATTTTATGCTTTACATTTCTCCTCTTGATCTGCTGAGCCCTAAGGCCCAGAACCTCAAAAGCATCTAGGTGCCTAACTCCTATTGGACTTAGGCACCTAAATACCTTTGAGGATCTAGGCCTAAGTTCTTTCCTCCTTGGTGAAGCTCCTACTGATTTATTCAGCAAACAATGTCCCTGGGGCATATGCTTGTCACATTACAGAAAAGTTAAACAAACAGGATTTTTATCAGGGACTGGTAATAGGATGGGGAGGCTTTTCGCTGAGTTACCAGATGATTGTTTGGTGGTCTGTGTGAATAGTGCTGGGCCCGGTCTCAGTCCAGTCCCCGGTGCCAGCTACCGCTGGGGCTGAGCTGGGAGTGTTGGTGGACTCGACAGAAACACCAAGGATCAGTAATTATTATTTATATAACGTTAAAACTTCACCAGGCGCTTTACACACAGTGGGGGGGGGGGGTACCCACAAGCACCTGAGGGAGTGTTAGGAACCCATGTCCCATTGAAAGCCATCAACTACTTGGGGGCCCGACTGCAGGGCCCCGCCTTTTACAGGCATTTGTAGCAACTTTTCCAATATCCATAACTTCATTAGCATCACAAATCGCTGACAACGTGAACTACCTCCCCACCCCCACAGAGCAATGGCGGTCCCGTCTCAGCCCCACAGAGCAATGGCGGCTCGCCAAGTCCCACCCCCACAGAGCAATGGCGGTCCCGTCTCACCCCCACAGAGCAATGGGGGCCCAACCGCGCCCTTGCGACCACCCCACATCACCAGAGAGCAACGGCAGCTCGACCACCTCCTCAGTCCTCACCCCGCCGCCGAGCACCGGTCGGCTGATTACGCAGAGTCACGTGCTATCCCCTCGCCCTGCCATTGATTGCGGCGGGGGCACGTCGATGGTTCCCACAATGCTTTGCGGCAGGCGGACGTGGTCCTGCTGCCGATGCCGCGGCTCCGGTGAGGCAGGTAGTTCGAAACGGTCTCCTACGCCTCGCAGGGCAGTTGCCTAGCAACAGACCTAGGCCCGCCTGACCACCCGGCCGTGCGGGCTGCGCGAAGGCGGCTCAGGTGGGAACTGGGGCCGGGAGGGGCAGGGATGGGCCGGGGCGCCCCTCCCCCACGGGCCCCGGGCGCAGGTAGGGGCAGGAACAGGGCTGGGTCTCCTCCTCCTCCTCTGGGCACAAGTTGGGGGCACGGATCCGGATAGCGATGGGCCCTGCCCCCCACCTGCGCCTCCGGCCCGGGGGGGGGGGAATAGGGATAACGCTGGGCTCTTTCTCGAGGGCCGGGATAGGGATGGGTCCCGCTCCTGGTGCCCGGGTCCCATACAGTGGGGGAGAGGGGATGTGGGGGCTAGTGCAATGGAGGAATTATTCCACCTGCCACTTGCCTCTCAGAGATAGGGAGGCATAACCCTGCCTATGTCCTCTTCCCTGTAGTGTAAGGCTGCAGTAGGTGCCCTGGCACCTCCAGGCGCTGGGCGTGAGTACAAATGCTGCTCTGCAAAACAGCTGTGACCTCTGTTTCCTCCCCACTCCTGCCATGGACAGAGTGCCACGTGTAACTTATGGGTGCAACACAGGTGTGTGTGTTGGATAGCTGCTGTAGCCAAACGTTTTTTTTTTTAGTGTGCCCCTATTGAGAAGGAGGCAGTTCAACACCCCCCCACCCCACCCCTGTGATGTGGGTTATCCATAACACCTCAAGATCAGGTTATTGTACTGCACTCTACATGGAGTTACACAATGACATTACCTGGAAATGAAAACTAGTGCTGAACTGCGTAGCCTGGTTATAAAGCATAATTTTATAATTGAAGCTCATTACAACATAGTTCCAGGATCTTCATTGGCTGTTAATAGACTTCTGCATGGAGACCCCGGCTTTGGTGCTAACCTTCAAAGCATAAGTGGTCTGAGCTCTTGTAACCTGGGAGATTGTTCTGTTCCCATTTGTATGATACTGGTGCAATCAGTTAAAGTGCTCAAACAAAAGCTTCCTTGTTACAAACAGAAGGAAGTTGGTGACAGGGCATTCTAGGGTTCCTTAACTTTAATATGCAGTTTTCCCCCACTCTCTTGGTCTGCCAGAAGCTAGATCGGGGTGGGCAAACGTTTTGGCCTGAGGCCACATCTGGGTGGGGAAATTTCATGTAAGACCATGAATGTAGGGCGGGTGTGGGATGTGGGAGGGGATGCGGAGTGCAGGAAGGGGCTCAGGGCAGGGGGAGGGGGTGCAGGAGGGGTGTGGCAGGGGGCTCAGGGCAGAGGGTTGGGGTGCAGGAGGAGTGTGGCAGGGGGCTCAGGGCAAGGTGTTGGGGGTGTAGGAGGGGTATGGGGTGTGGCAGGGGGTTCAGGGCAGAGGGTTGGGGTGCAGGAGGAGTGCAGCAGGGGGCTCAGGGCAAGGTGTTGGGGGTGCAGGAGGCGTGTGGGGGGTGGCAGGCGGCTCAGGGCAGAGGGTTGGGGTGCAGGAGGAGTGCGGCAGGGGGCTCCGGCCCTTCGCCGCTTACCTGGAGCGGATCTAGGGTGGCAGCAGCGCAAAGCTTGGCTAAGGCAGGCTCCCTGCCTGCCTTGGCCCTGCGCCGCTCCCGGAAGCAGCTGGCACCATGTCTCTGCAGCCCCTGGGGGGAACAGCTCCATGCGCTGCCCTCGCCTGCGGGTACCTCCCCTGAAACTCCCATTAGCCGCGGTTCCCTGTTCCCGGCCGATGGGAGCTGCAGGGGGCAGTGCCTGCAGGCGAGGGCAGCGCATGGAGCCCTCTGCCCCGCCAGAGGCGGTGGTGCTGGCCACTTTCGGGAGCGGCGCGGGGCTGGGAATCCTGCGGGCCGGATCCAAAGCCCTGATGGGGCTGGATCTGGCCTGCGGGCCGTAGTTTGCCCACCCCTGATCTAGAGCATGCAATATAAAGCTTTTATACAGTTAAGAAAATAAACTAATAAATAGAAAATTGTGAAACAGTTAAGGTTGATACACATGACATGAGACAAACCCAGAAAAAGCAAAAAAATGAGACGTTAGCCTAACTTACTATACATAACAGCAGGCACACACCTTACTATTCCCACAAGAACTATACACCTTAACTCTGCCCTCTCAATCAGCCCTTCAGCAGGCAGCAGTCTATCAAATTATCCCATCCATTAGTTGTGGATGTTTAATGTAATAAGTTCATGTGTTGGAAGGGGATAATCTGAAAAATGAGGTGCTGGAAGTCTAGCATATGTTGGAGAGCAGAGACTACCCATTGCACCAGATCTACTCAGAATTCATCTCTGTTCGTTTTTGTGAAGCTAAGCAATGTGCTGTGGGTTTTTTTTTAAAGGTGGTACTGCCATGAATGACACTCATCAACAGCCCAATTTCAAACAGCTTATATTAAAAATTTATGCAAAGGAGTCAAACAAAAATTGCCTTGAAAATTCAGACTATAAAACGAACACTGTATCACATTTCACACTGAAAGGCCATCTTCACATAGGGAAAAACAGGAATATATACCTCATATTAAGGCTTATTTCAGAACATAGCTCTGAATATGGAGTTGTAACCACGTACCTCCATATTAAAAACAATTACCAGTTTTCTCTTCTCAATAGAAGAAACTGGGATTAGGTCATGGACCCCACAACCACATCTTCCTAATTCCCAGGGGCCCTGCAATGGAAACAGCAGGCTTTAAAGTGAGTAAAGTACTTCTCACAAATTTGTGAAGCGTGGGAGACGCACTATTATATTTGTAAGGAAAGCGAGGTCCCTTGAGTTTAGGATAGTCTGAGGTAGAGAGTATCTGGGGAAAAAATACTAAATATGTAAGGGATTGAGTGCAGATTAATACCTAAACTTTTGGATGGATAGATAGAAATGACATTTAAAGATATTATTTATACAAATATTTCTTCATCACATTTTTCTATGTACACATATATACACATGCATAAAAAACTGCTTGCTGTAGAGAAATATTTAATATTTTTGGTTGGCTGAGTAAAATATTCTTTGTTTTTTAATTTCCATCATCCTGTTATAGGAAGGGTTAGTACATTTTTGTTTAGTGGTAAATTTTCATGACTGTTTTGCAGTGCTGAATTGCATACAGTTAAAATATGTATATTTATTAATTTCTCTACATTCATATACTCTTTTAGCCACAGTGTACTTGGTAGTAGTGTTTTTGTTTGTTTTTGCTTTTAAGATAAATGACAACTTTTTATACAGTCTTCTGACACAGTTCTTTGGAGACTGAGAAGAAATAAATGTATTCATTGGATGGCTTAATAAGAAATATTTCACTAATGATATTAAAAAAGACTGTCTAAACAAAGTTTTGTTTTTCTGTCATTTCATAATGCATGGAAGACAGCTGGCAGGTTTCAGGGAGGTTTATCCTTTTTAAGAGGGACTAATTTGCCTTGATATAAATAGCTTTCATTTAATCTGAATCCCTATTTATCTAGGATTTATGAGAATATTTTATTTACAAATAAAATAAATATGCAAAATAGATAACTTAGATCTAGAAGAAGGATTTTATCCACTCTCAGTTCTGCTGTCTCTATTATTGATATTGGCTATTTATATTCTTTGTCCTTAATTCTGGGAGTAAAACAATGATTGAATGGAAATTGGGTTCAGTATTTAATATATGGGCAATGGGAGAGTTTTGGAGAGATACATATAGCATTATGTAATCCTACCTACTTGATATTTTCGCACTCCTCCTTTTTCCCCATAAGAGATTAGGGATAAATGAAATTGCTGTGATTAATTTAATAAATGCTATCAGAGAGCTTTATTACTGTAGGTCATTTGTCCATCTTCCTGCCAATATAGGGCCGTTCTTGATAATATAATATTCAGCCTAGTTTTAAATGACTGAAGGGATGGGTCTTTGTCCTCTTCACTTTGGAAATCTACATAGTCAAATAGAAATGGGTTTTAAATTCCGTATTTTAATCATGCGATTAATCACACTGTTAATAATAGAATACCATTTATTTAAATATTTTTGGATGTTTTCTACATTTTCAAATATATTGATTTCAGTTACAACACAGAATACAAAGTCTACAGTGCTCTCTTTATATTTATTTTTGATTACAAGTATTTGCACAGTTAAAAAACAAAAGAAATAGTCTTTTTAAATTCACCTAATACAAGTAATGTAGTGCAATCTCTTTATCATGAAAGTTGACTTTACAAATGTAGAATTATGTACAAAAAAACCTGCATTCAAAAATAAAACAATGTAAAATTTTAGAGCCTGCAAGTCCACTCAGTCCTACTTCTTGTTCAGCCAGTCACTCCGACAAACAAGCTTGTTTACATTTGCAGGAGACAACGCTGCCCGCTTCTTATTTATAATGTCACCTGAAAGTGAGAACAGACGTTTGCTGTTGTAGCCAGTGTCGCAAGATATTTATGTGTCAGATGCGCTAAAGATTCATATGTCCCTTCATGCTTCAACTACCATTCGAGGGGACATGCTGATGACGGGTTCTGCTCAATAACAATCCAAAGCAGTGCGGACCAATACATGTTCATTTTCATTATCTAAGTCAGATGCCACTAGCAGAAGGTTGATTTTCTTTTTTGATGGTTTGGGTTCTGTACTTTGTGCATCGGAGCATTGCTCTTTTGAGACTTCTGAAAGCATGCTCCACACCTCATCCCTCTTAGAGATTTTGGAAGGCTCTTCAGATTCTTAAATCTTGGGTTGAGTGCTGTAGCTATCTTTAAAAATTTCACATTGGTATCTTCTTTGCATTTTATCAAATTTGTAGCAAAAGTGTTCTTAAAATGGACATGTACTGGGTCATCATCCGAGACTGCTATAACATGAAATGTATGGCAGAATACAGGTAAAACAGAGCAGGAGATGTAGAGTTCTCCCCCAAGGAGTTCAGTCACAAATGTAATTAACACTTTTTTTTTTAACGAGTGTCATCAGCATGGAAGCATGTCCTTTGGAACAATGGCCGAAGCATGAGAGGCATATGAATCTTTAGCGCATCTGGCATGTAAATATCCAGTGCCATGCGAACGCCTGTTCTTAATTACATCACCTGAAAGTGAGAAGTGGGCAGCATTATCTCCTGTAACTGTAAACAAACCTGTTTCTCTTAGAGATTGGCTGAACAAGAAGTAGGACTGAGTGGACTTGTAGGCGCTAAAGTTTTATATTGTTTTGTTTTTGTGTGCAGTTATGTAAAAAAACCCAAAACCCTACATTTGTAAGTTGCACTTTCATGATAAAGAGATTGCACTACAGTACTTGTATAAGGTGAATTGAAAAACACTATTTCTTTTTTATCATTTTTACAGTGCAAATATTTGTAATCAAAGATAATAAAAAGTGAGCACTGTACACTTTGTATTCTGTGTTGTAATTGAAATCGATATATTTGAAAATGTAGAAAAACATCCAAAATATTTAATAAATTTCAATTGGTATTTTATTGCTTAACAGTGCGATTAATCACGATTAATTTTTTTGATTTAATCGCGTGAGTTAACTGATTAATCGATAGCCCTAGTTTATACCCTTTAAATAATTATAAATTGTTGAAGCTAGACAAATTCATACTGGAAATAATGCATACATTTATAGCGGTGAGAGTAATTACCCATTGGAACAATTTACCAGGGGTCGTGGGAGATTGTCCATTATTGGCAGTTTTAAAATCAAGATTGGATGTTTTTCTGAAAGATCTGCTCTAAAAATTATTTTTGGGAAGTTCTATGGCCTGTGTTTTACAGGGGGTCAGACAAATAAGCAAATATGTGATTCTCTAAAAGTAAAATTACTTAATGCTTGTCTTCCTAAACTTTTGATCGTTTTGATATATCTACTGTAACTTTTAAAGGTTTGGCCATTTTAAATATTTATCTATCTTTTAATTCTTGACAAAAGTTTCATGGGTGTGTTTTAAAATGTCTGCTGTGATTTGCCACCTTTTGTGCAGGAATATTTTAATAAACTCCTTTTGTTATATTGTTTTGTACATGCAGACCAAGCATACCACAGAATATATAATTGTTGGAGAAAGTTGAGAGCAGCATTACATCAGGGCCAAAAAGTAAAATTTTAGTTTGAATAGGAATCACTTGACGTTACATTTATTTTATTCTTCCCCATCCCTGCCTCCGAGGTTAGATCCCATGTATCTTAAAATAATTATACTTTGTCCTTTTATGGTAGGTCATTCATGGTTTTCACATGCTTTACAAACATTATTTATTTTAAACTTCTCAATACTGGTGTAAGGTGGATATTGCTATACACATTTTACAGATCAATGAACTCAGACCCAAATAAGAGAGAAAGGGTATCATGGTTAAGACACTGGACTGTGACTCAGGAGACCTGGGTTTTATTTTTGGTTCTGCCACATGTTTCCTATGTTACTTTGGTTAAGTCAAGTCGGTCTCCATTCAGCAAGATATTTAAACTTGTGCCTAACTTAAAGCATATGCATAGTCCCACTGAATTCAGTAGAACTATTAACATGCTGATAGTTAGGCACGTGTTTAATTTTTTTCTTGGTCATGGCCTTAATCTCTCTGTATCTCAATTCCCGATCTATAAAATAGGAATAATAAAACTCCTTTGTCTGTCTTGCCTATGTAGACTTTAAGCTCTTCGGGCAAGATCTTCTCTTGATCAGTGAGACAAAGATGATGTAGTATGTATGGTGCCTAGCACTGTGATCTTGATCTCAATTGGTGCCTCTCGGCACTACTGTAAAACAAATAATAAATAAAAAAATAGCAGGGCCTCAATCTCAGAGTCTCTAAGTGCTGTGGTAATACAAATTGTGTACATATTAATAAGAGAAGTTAAAAGTCTCATTCTGTGACCTGTTTGTGAGTCAGAAAAACAGGTAGGGACTACTCAATAGGACTTCTTGTGCGAGCTTAGGTTCGAGACTAAGCCCTTTGTGACTTGCCGTGTATTAAGGCTGAACCAGGCATACAACCCGTCAGCCTTGACTGAGAGTTACCTCACCTGCCCACCAGATAGTAATGGTTCTGGCTGCATATTCAATTTTTGTTTATTTGTTTTAATTTTGTCTGATCTGCATTTCTGAATATGTTTGTTTTGTTTTAGGCTTTCACTAAATCTGTTGGCAATGTCTATGATCTTATCTGCCTCAGTGGTCCGTGTTAGAGATGGGCTCCCGCTATCTGCCTCTACAGATTATGAGCAAAGCATGGGAGTGCAGCAATGTAGAAAATATTTTAAAACACTCTCCAAGAAGCTTGCTCAGCTTCCTGATAGATGTATGCTGAAAGCTGGCCAGTATAATATAAAGTAAGAATTTCTTTTTTATCCTTGTAACATTCCTGAGTGGTGGTTAGTTAACAGTTGCAATGTAGAGGTAATGAATTAAATCAAGAATAACTATCAACAATTATTTTTGTATTTGGAAATTGAAAGTTAAGACACGTTTGACTTTAAAGACATTTATATTCTGGTGGAAATCCTAGTTTGATGTAACCTGCATTGTTATAAATATTTAAATTATTGACCTACTAGAGTCTTGCAAGATTAAGCATTTTCAAGATTTATTCTATTATCCTATTGGTTTCAAGATAGTGTGTGGCATTAAAAACCCCAGGAGCTCAGGAGACTTGTGATTAGTCCTTGGATATTTTTTGTTATGGTAGTTCAAGGAAATTATGATAGTTTTATTTTCTTTGTCTGATCTGAATTATCAAAATATAAACTGAATGTAAAATTACTACCTTTTCAAATCGTAAGTCTGTATATAAAAATGTGTTATAGAATTGGGGCCAGATTGTTACAGATATGTATGTGGCTAACTCATTGAAATCAGTAGGAGTCAGTGGTCTAGATACTTTTAAAAATCTGGGCTATAGAGCCTAACCTGCATGCCTTGTTCACCTAAAATTACTATTGACTTCAGTGGGAGCATTGCATATGTAAGGAATACAGGATTTGCACCCTTACCTTAATTTGTAACGCCAATAGCAAATGTTCCTTTGGATAGGGACCATGTTTTCCTACATCTGTAAAGCGCCTGGCTCAGTAGAGCCTCCGTCCTGATTGGAGTATGCTAGCTGCCTCCATAATCTAAATAATAATAATATGCAATATATATATGGCGGAAATATTCCATGATTAAATGTGCACTGTTGAGATAAACATCTTATCATTAACAGCCTAGTTTATTAATAAACAGTTATTTAGTAAACACCAAAATCTAATTTAATTTTCATCTTTTATGTACTTTACTCAGCTTGGACAGTGAAACTAAAGTTTCCCTTATGGGGAACATTAACGCATTGCATTAACACATTGCTGTTGCATTTCTTTCCAGTACTTAAGGTAACTCTTTACGTCGCCTGAACCCTCTATCTTTTCCATCTCTCCCCAATTTTTTAAGTTGTACTCATATTTTTAAAAGTCTTGAAAATATTTATTAAAAGTTTTTATAAAAGCATTTTACCATTAAAAAAAAAAATTAGAAATGTTTTATGTGGCTGCTTAATGGTAGCTATTGTATTCTAATAACTTCTGTGGCTCATTGATGTAACTGTTTAATGTTATAACTATCACAACATATGAGTAAAGGGTTAGCCTCTCAGTTTATTTTAAAAACAACCCCACTAATTATCCTCTTCCCCCCGCCCCCAAATTTGTGCTTTTACCTTTGTTTTGCCACTCATTGTAGCTGTGCTTCAGACAACACAAAAAGAACAGTTTTCACAAAACAAATATTCTCAGTGGCTGATATTTTTATCTCTGTGAATTAAGATAAATGCAAGCAATGAAACCTAAGCTATGATTGTTAAGGTAGAGCAAATATCGATTCTGTGTGTGTAAATGCAAATGAAAAAGTCAATATTTCCTCTCAGAAGTTAATGATCATTGCTTTAACTAATTATGCAAAAAATATAGCACTGTAGCTTTGAATTTATTAATAAACTTCAGTAGTAAATCTTAATACATCTATAATTTCTTTGACAACTGATAAACTAAAAAGAAACTTTAAAGAACTGGACATCACGTGTAATCAAAGATTTTATATATTTACCATCTATTAGTAAGACTCTGTGTTTAAAATCTTGATATATAATGATTAGGTTGATTATTTTAAGCTGTATATGACAGATACTTCAACTAATTTTGAAACTTGTGTTTCATGAACCAATAATCGAATACAACAATTTGTTAACATCTAAGTGAAATATGTATAGATATATACCAAATGTTTAATTGGAAGGGGGGGAAGATTTTCCTGTCTCTGGTCATCTTCATCTCCATCTCTGGATACTGATGAAACATCCTTTCTATGGAAGACTTTAATACCCTCACTTATAAAAAATAATTCTGAAGAGCAGTTTTTTGCCTTTGGAATGCACCAGATGGCATGTTCTGCATTTATTCTAAATGTGCCATTCCCTGGAGAGGATACCCACGTGTGTGTCCCCCCCCCCCAGCCCTCCCGCCTAAGGATTTTATCAAAATCTCCCTCTCTTCCACACGTTAGTCCATTGCAACACACTATACACTTTTATATGTATAACATAGCTTCTCATTCATTAATACAATTCTGTTTAAAATAAAGACATTATCTAAAAGTAAATTTTCCCTAAAACAATCTCTGGCTTTCTCAATAAATATTAATGTCTTCATTACCCCATAGACATTTTTTGCTTCTCTGTTTATGGCATATGGAACCAGTCTTGCAAAGCTGTAAGTTACATGGACTTAATTTTGAAATTTTAAAACCATTTTTTAAATTATAGTTTTATTAGCTCTCTGGGAGTGAGCTACATGATGCTGTGCACTGAAAATTACCCCAGTGTTCTGGCTTTCTGCTTCCTGGATGAGCTTCAGAAAGAGTTCATCACCACGTACAATATGATGAGGACAAATACTGCCATCCGACCATACTGTTTCATAGAGTTTGGTAAGGATCTGACTGTTTACTACTACAATAACTCTTTCAATCCTAATTCAAATTCAACTAACTATTTTAAAGAACGTACAACTTAAAACATAGTTATTTAGCTTTAGGGTGATTTAGGGCCTAATCCAGCTCCCATTAAAGTCAATAGAAAGTTTCCCATAGTCTTTGGTGGGAGTTGAATCAGTCTGTTAGAGTCTGATGCAAAATCCTTTGGAAATCTTTCCATTAACTTCAGTAAGTTTTAGATCAGGTTCTGCGTGAACAAATATGGATGAGTTTAACTTCTGCCAGTTAGTAATATGTTGAGATGTTTGACATTATACCCGTATCAAAATATTGAACCTATAAAGACATTGAGCTTGGTAAGCCATTTCCAAACTAAAAAATCCCAGTTATATGTTTGCTCTTCACTGTGTAATAGTTATTTGTTCAATGCAAAGAAAGGAAGTGAAGATTTTGATTTGCTTTATGCATTGAATTTTCTGTGATTCAAGCTTCAAATACCTACTACATGTGGCGTTACTTGTAGCATCTCTTGTGGTTTCTGCTGATATCTGCAGTAGCTTAAAAATTATACCTTCATTTGGAGGTAAAAGAAACTAGTTTTATGTATTCTAACAAAATACATTTTAGACAGAGTAAAAGGAATACAAGGTGCAAAAAAATGTAGTACCTACTACATTCATTCAGTTTTCCAATGCAGCTGATCTAGTCTGTTTTTTAAAGGTGTCCTTTAGAATAACCACTGTTTGCTTTCTTTCCTTTCTCCATCTTTCAATGTGTTTTCCTAGCTGTTAGTTAAGAGAGTAATTTCGTTATATTGGTGTGTTTACTGCTGAGGAGAGAAGATATAATGAAAGTATTCAGCCCTAATATTTTGCAATTTAAGTCACATGAATTAAGTGTATTTATATCTGAAAAAAGAATTATTTTATTTTTATAAGAATATTTGCTAAATTGAGAGAGAAGCTAAAACTAGTGAAATAAATCCATTATATTAGCAGTGCTTTCAGTATCATGCCGTGGCAAGTCATTAGTTTATTCACAGTCGTTAAGTAATTAGATTTCTAGAGTTTAATTTTTTTATACTGCAGAATTAATTAGTCCTTGATATATTAGTCATAAAACAGAAATAGTATTAGAATGTTCCAAGATAAATGTAAGAATTTCAAATAATAAATTTAAATTTGTATTTTAGAAATATATGACCCATAAAGCCTCACTCTGGAATGATTTAATTAACAAATGTCTATAGGGATATTTTTTTTTAATTTTACACAGATAATTTTATTCAAAGGACCAAGCAGAGATATAATAACCCACGGTCTCTGTCGACCAAGATAAATCTTGCTGACATGCAGACAGAAATCAAGCTGAGACCACCTTATCAAATTTCCATGTCTGAACTTGGTTCAACTAATGGATTTGCACACTTATCTGCTGCAGAATTTAAGGGTACTGGTAAGATATCTACTGGTGAGTTTGGTACCTTAATTACTATTATCTTATGTGAACCAGATACAGAGCCATATGTTTACTTTGCTTTTTTTTTTTAATCAAAATGAAATATGGAAAATAATGCCAAACCTGGTACTTTGTTAGTTGCTAGTCTGTATAAAGAACAATTGCCATGACCTAGGATGTGTGTCCTTGTTTAGCAGGTGTGGCTTCAGTTAATTACTCTTCCCCTGCAGCTTCCATAGAGGGCAATTACTGATAGACTGGTTTCTAAATGAAAATATACAAGTGAAGGTAGACATTTAAATATGCATATTTTTTTATAAGACTCATAAATCAGTTAGTGATTTCTTTATAATGGGATCTGAAGGCATCATGAAAGCATTGTATTACTGTCGGCATGTCATGACTACTGGACTCAGTGGGAAGAGCACCACATAGGGCAGGTCCTTGACATTCAAATTCAAAGTAATTATCCTGTTTAAATTCAGTACTCTTTAAAAAAATGTTTGTACCTAGTACATCACATCAGTAATAGCATATTTTCATTTATTTTTGTCATGCCAGTTCTTTTTTAAGTCTTGAATTTTTTCATGTATATCATGAAAAGAATAAATTTTATAGGGTAACTTTTTTAAAGCATATATGATAACTAATGCATTGGTGAGTTTGGATATTAGAGTAGTATATACTGACATATGATTCTAGACTTTATCTTGTGATATTAAAAACACTTTCAAGCAGTTAAGCTCCAAATTTGGGTATTTTCCAGCAGAATAGAAGAATGAAAACAAGAACACAAAAACATTGTACTAATGCATGGATTCTACAAATGAAACTGACTAGAGAAAGTGAAACAAAATAGTCTAGTTTCAATCTTCAAGTTCAGTGAAGTGAAAAAATAGAATAAATGATGAAAACTTAATTTAAATGTTAAACATTTTTCATTTAAAAAAAATATTTGGTCCTGATGCTCATCCACATGGGCAGACTCTGTCAGGGCCGCCCAGAGGATTCAGGGGGCCTGGGGTTATCTGCGGTGGGGGGGCCCCTGCCGCCAAAGACCCGGCACTTCGGCGGCGGGTCCCGGAGTGGAAGGACCCCCCGCTGCCGAATTGCCGCCGAAGACCCGGAACGGAAGACACTCCGGGCGCCCAGGCCCCACGAGAGTTTTCCGGGGCCCCCGGAGCAAGTGAAGGACCCCGTTCCAGGGGTCCCGAAAAACTCTTGTGGGGACCCCTGCGGGGCCCGGCGCCTGGGGCAAATTGCCCCACTTGCTCCCCCCCCCCCGCCCCCCCCCCAGACGGCCCTGGACTCTGTACCAAACAGTTCATCTTGCAGGATTAGGGCCTGAATTAATGACACAAATGTGAACTCTTATTAAAGTACTGTAAAATAAGTGATCAGCTAAAATGTGTACACTTTCGCAAATATTAAGTCACTTTAACTATTATGCTAGTAATTCTTTTTCAGCGATTACCTTAAACACTTCAGTTTCTTCTATTTCTACTGTAGGTTTTCTCTCTACAGATGTTAAAATGCTGTTTTAGTTGAAAAAGGTACATTGCTAGGTGTTTGTTCAGTGCCCACCACAGTGGGGTTCTGATCCTAATTGAGACTTTTAGGAGCTATCAGAGTGCAAATAATTTATAGTTATAATGATTATAACGTTGATATTGGGGGGAAAAAAATCTAACTACTGCAACAACAAAGGAGAATGTGTAATCAGGTTCAAATTATTTAGGACAGTGGTACCTCTCAAGTTATGCCATATACCTATGCTAAATCATCCAGGGCATTCTTAATATTGTTGGTGACTGATGGAGAAATGTGGAAAACATTTTTAGTACCACTTCTGCTTGTGTATATATGTACTATACATTTTTATTATAATTCTATGGACATTCTATGGACTCCTTTTATCGCTTCTGACACTTGCACCTTTCTTCAGAGTTAATCTCCTACTTATTTAACAGCCTGATGTAATCCTGTGTCTGTGGCAAAGGTTATGGTGTCACAAGTGGAAGCAAATAAACTCAATAAAAATCCTCTGGATGGAGTTTATGGTTAAAAGGAAAAATACTGAACGTCTATGGCAGAGGCAGAATTATTTCTAAATAGATTATTTTTAAAAATAAGTGTTTTCAGGAAGCATTAGATGCTTATTTATGACACTGTTAGAATGAAAGATCCTCTGAGAACACAGTAGCTTAAATTCAAATGCAGTAAGGCACCTTTCTTTCTCTTTTCCATTCTTCCTTTCTTTTTTCTTTATCATGTTATCACAAGTTAAAGATTTTCTTTTTTAAACTTTAAATCAGAAGTCAGCGTTCCCTTGCTGGTTTTTGCTTGACCTGATTGTTTCAGAAGTATTGCTTCCTGACATTTCTCAATTTTCCTGTCCTATTTTCATTTAATTAGTTTGTCCTTCCTCTCTATTTTGCATATTTTTCTCTTCTCTTCTTCCTTTCTGAATTTGCCTGGTTGCAGACTCTCCCTCTCAAGGCCTATACATCCAGGGAAGATCACACTCTGTTTTTTCTCCCAATATTTAAGTTTTAGCTGCCTTTTGCTCCTGATAGAAAGGACCATTGGATACTACAGTGTCATTTTTCCTTTAATACAAGTCTTTTATCTTAGAGCAGTTCCAGAATTTCACAGGTCAGCTGCTTGCTCAAATATAAGCTTGCAACCATCTCCCAGAGTAACGACTTGCTTAAAAAATCTTTGCTGTCTGTCTGATACCTATGCAGCAGGTCAGACTTCCCCATTTCTCTTCTGTTCCAAGGATAACTTTTCCAAATGTGACCTTCCTTGCTCAAAGTCCCATAATTCTTTTGCTTTCCCATTCAGATATGAGTTTTGTGTTGGGTGAGTTACATGTCTTAAACCACTTCAGCTAGTAAGTGGTGCTAAATAGACACACAGGCCAAATTCTGTTTTGTTACACGAGTGTAACTTGAGAGCAGTATTTGACCCATTAACTGTAGCTGTAATGGTAAAGCATTTGGCATTACTAGAATGGATACAGCTATTGGGCATATATCTGATGCTGAACAATATTTAGAGTCTAGGCTTATGAAAATGTTGTTCAAATGATTGAAAATTGGAATCCTTTCTTTAGAGAACAACTGTTCTGTATAATGAATAAATTAAAGCTATTTTTTAATGTAGGGACTGGACCGGCTTCTCTGGTGGTGATTTAAAGGGCCCAGAGCTCCAGCCACTGAAGGGAGCCCCCAGGCTCTTTAAATCACCTCCGGAGCCCTGCCGCCGCTACCCCAGCCCTAGCCTGAGCCCTGCTGCCCCAGGGTAGCAGCGGCAGGGCTTCCGCAGTGATTTAAAGGGCCCGGAGCTCCGTGGTGGCCGGAGCCCCGGGCCCTTTAATTCGCCCCTGAGCCCCGGGCTCCCAGCCGCCTCTGCAGCTGGTAGCTCCAGAGTGATTTAAAGGCCCTGGGACTCCCAGCCACAGCTGGAGCCCCAGGGCCTTTAAATCTTGAAAGGCCCCGCCTCTTCCGGTTGAGGCCACGCCTCTTCCAATTGAGACCACGCCCCGTTCAGGACTCCGGTGTACTGATAAGTCCTTTAAGTTACTTTCACCCCTGGGTATGCAGCATGCAAACTCCTGATAGTATTTTGCTTTAAAGATAATTTCAGGTTTCATCATGCTTTAGAAATGTGGTGATAACAGACTGTTAATTTGTTGTATACATTTGTCTGGTTAGGGCAGATTTTAAATATTTTTAAAGCTTTTTTTCAAATCTCAGTTTCTAAAGTTAAGGTACCATTAACTTTCCTACTTTTAAAATAAGGAATTCCAGTAGAACTGGTACAGTCTCTCAAATCAGTGGAACTAAAAGAGGTACTCGCTGTATAAATTAGTAAAAATAGTACATTGAGGTTTACATATAATAAGGTAAACAGCAATAAAACGTACTACATATCTAGCAGAAGGCCAGGTTACACTTCTTGGAGCTCCCTTAAGCCACTAAAAAGTTGAGTGCTTGATATTTCAATCACAATATTCCATTACGTTTTTTAAAATGGCAGCGGGGGAGGGACAGCAGGAGAAATGTGAATAAATTTAAAGTCATTCTTTACAGGGAACGTACAAGTTCTGACATCAGAATTTGTATGTTTTTTTATCCCGGGCATATACTAAAAACTCACTAATTTAGTGATTATCTGCTGTCTCCTCTTAAGAGTTTATAAACTCCACAGGCTGATGGACCTAGTGGCTCTAGTACAGCTTGTCTTTTACTCTGCCATCTTTAACTGACATTCTAAATTCTGTTGTTTATGCATTTATTTGCTGTCTGGTGCTTAGCTCTTTTGATAATAGAATGTGTAATCCCTTGAGGAGCTTAATAGCTTTAGCAATGGTGTAGATTGTCCTTAATTAGAGTGCCTGAAAATTGTTTTAAAGAAAAAACAGAGAAAGGTTCTAACACTCATGCACAAAATTGCTGATTTTTGCTGACAAAACTGTTTACTTTTCCAGAATAAGACGTTCCTCATTTTTGTGTTATCAAAATGTAAAATTCCTGATTGGAATATATGGGGAAAATGTGGGTGTGGCTTTCCTCCCTCTACTCATAAAACTGAACAAGAGCTGAACTAATTTTACCCAACAGCTTAAATAAATGCAATTTGGCTGAGACTAAAATTTCAGCCAAAAAAAAAAAGTTTGAAAAAAGTTATAAGTAACTGAAGAAGTTAGAATGCAAATTGGCATCCAACCTTAACTTTAGTAGTTGCCACATCTAATGTGTCTTGTGGTTAGAATAAAAATAAGTTATCGAAGTTGAGTATCAGGGTATTTTTTTGTTTAAAACAAAAACATATGTTAAGTCTTGTACAAATTAGTTATAACAAAACATATATGTTGAGCATAATAAAGTTAGGACACAATGACACTCAAACAGTCTTATGTGCTTATCAGGAGAAATAGCTTTTGTTATATTTTTTGTGGTTTCTGTAACTATTTGGAGTAATCTGAACTATTTGGAGAGCCTTTGTCTGCAGCTGTTAAGTGCAAACAATCAGGATTGACACCCCTCTCTATATTAATGTTACAGTTCGTTAACTTCATTGTTTGCACCTTTACACTTCACTGATTTAAGCAAAATGATTTAAATATGTGACCCTCTTGTGCCCCCTCCCCTTCCCCATGTTGCATAGACTGTTACGGATTTTGTGTTGGATTCCCTCCCCACCCCCCGCCATTTTATTTGTTGTGGAAATGCACAATAATGATTGATACACATTTGCAGTCATTTGTGTAACTGTGTCCCCTCATAAACACAAATAAATGTATGCAGAGAAATGTATATTTTCAAATCCCTTTCTGTATTTTGTTTTTAATATAATCAGTAAGAGACTTCTGAATCACAACTGGAAAGTATGTATCCTATTGTAGTACAAATACTAGATGTAGTTCCAGAATTTTTCTCCATTTGTATCTCTGGTAGCATTTACAGCTGGTGTGCTTTGCTGTAGTGGCATGTAATAGGCTTTGCCTCACAGCATTTCGCTCAGCAAACAAGTTAAATCAGTCCTGATAGCCCTTACTAATGCGTTAGTGTTAAAGAACAGTGAAGGTTGTGAAAGGAGCTCTCAAGTATGTGACTTATTAGCTGGTTGCTAATTTTGGACAAATTTTACCAGGAAGTACATTATTGGGTATTGATTTACTGGCATGTTTGAACAATCTGCAGCACCGTGCTGAATAAACTGGATATCTCAAGTTAAATTTCTTCTTTAACAAAGACATTACTTCAACTAAAATACAGAGTTGATGTTCCTTAAAGTATATTTTATCAAATCTTTCACTCTTTTTAGAATTTTACATATACACTAAAGGTTTACCAACTTTAATTATGTGTTTTTGAGCAGGAAGAAATCACTGAAAAATAAGATTTATATTTTTCTAAACTTTAAGGAAAATGCTTTGATTTATTTCATACCATTTTTATCCTGTGCCTTGCAGCTCCTCATCAACGACTGGAAGCTGTTACTCTGCCAGGGATTGTTTCATTTATACTGAGCCTGTTATGTGGGGCTTTGAATTTAATTAGAGGATTTCATGCCATAGAAAGTCTTCTGCAGGTACTGTACCATGTTTACAACTCTGTAGTGGGGAAGAACTGAAATCAGAGTGCCACGTTTGTGCAAAATATCAATCATAATTAGTTCATATAAATTTTACAGTATGAACCAAATCCTTCTACCCTAATTCATATGAATGTTCCTATTGATTTCAGACCCAATATGTATATTACTACTCCTGGGGGAATTACACACACAGAATTCATGTTTGGTGCAGAATTTTTTTATTTCCCGCAGAAAATACATTCTGCCCAAGAAGTGTTGCAATTCTGCCTTTTGCCCACCAGAGGCCACTGTGGCACCAGAACAGCCGTCTGACCAGTAGTAACAGCTAGCAGCCAGTTGCGTTCATAATAGCAGTCTGCCCGTGGAGGCAGGTTAGGTGGGAGAGTGGGGCACCGGGGGCTGCTGTGGGGGTCAGAGATTAGGGTCAGAAGGGCTAGTGGGGAGACAGACTGGGGTATGGGCTGAGGAGCTAGTGAGGTGACAGCATTGAGCCAAGGGCTGAATGGGATGGGGGGCTCCAGGGCCACATGGAGATGGGGGCAGGGTTTCCAGGGCCACATGGAGACAGGGGCAGATGTGCCTGACTGAATGGGAGAGCCTTGATGTCAGCCAAGGTCCATACTTCTCCCACCCACACCTAACAACCCTCCAGGTTCATTCCCAGGCTCCTTCCCTCTACCTCAGCTCCTCCGTTACCCTTGACTCCCCCAAGCCTTTGCACTGCTTTTGAGAGGTTCGGAAAATACATTTCTGTATTGTAGTTTAAATGAATTACTCAACGTTCTGTATTAATATATCTGGTAAGGAATCTATTTGTCAAAAAACATTTCCTGAATCTTTTTATTTTTTTGTCTGTATTGTTAGACATACTTGCTGACAGGTATTTTGAAATAAATTACCAAAATAATTGAAACTGGAGTGATCATATTGTGTTATTTTGACAAATAAAATATGCAGAATTTTGCAGAATTTATTTTTTGGCACAAAATTCCCCCAGGAGTAATATTCTATATCCATTATTGAGTGTGTACAGGAAGAGATGTTCAAAGGTGCCTAATGGAGTTTGTAAATCAGTGGAAGATGGGCAGCTAACTCCCTTAGATACTTTTGCAAATCCCACCAGTACAGGGCATAGACTGCTATTTTCTAAACCCATGCCATAATGACAAACTTTGAAAAGCCACTTTTTCATTGGTGTCTGTTATGCATAATGCTCGAACAAAATGATATGCCTTCAAAATTTGGACAGTCTAGCCCATTGTCAGCAAAGAACCACAGAACATGTGTCTTTGAAGGATTTTTGTAACCAGGACCTTTGTTCCTTTGAGAATAAAATGAAAAATTATGTACTTGGTTATGGGAAGTTCTGTCCCTTTTAAAATATATTTGCATTCAATATTGTGATTCATGACCTTGCAATGAATAAGAGGTTTTTCTTTGTACACCATTACTTCTATAAGATACATTGCCATTGATATTCTGTACTGAATGGAGGATACTGTGCTTTTAGAAGGACACATCTTCTCATAGTGTAAATTGTCATAGCTCCATTGAAGTCAGTGAAGCTATGACAATAGACAGCTGCTGAGTATCTGCCCCAGTTAAAACATTAAACTGAGGTCCTCTCATGATGGTTGTCCTAGTGGAAGATGAAGATCCTGTGGTGGCTTTCAAAAGGAGTAGGGGGAATCTTACTATTTTGGTTAATATTTATTCTCTCAGTAAAGTAAATTCAGGTGTATAAGACTTTGTGCACTATTCCTTCATAATCACAGCATTATCAGTGTTTGCTTAATCACTTTTTAAGGACACTGGTTACCTAAAATATGAAAGATGGTGTGTGCATTCTAATTGTGTTCTGTATACATACTTGTGTATTAATTTAAACATTAACAGTTGAGGCCCAGGGCATTTCTTGAAGATTAATGAATGGCTGGGAGGAGTTGATGAAAATGCCCTGTGCCAAGGTCGTTGTTACTATTACAAACTGAAAATGAGAATAAAGCCAAGGTATATGGATTTTTTTAATGCATTATGCAGTTTCATGTGGCATTTCTAGAGAATTAATGCCCTGTTCCTTCACAAATCATATTTCTTATATATTATGTACATATAAATAATATTTCCTGAATACTTTATTGCCATGCCATTAGATTTATAAATATAAATTACAGTACAGAGTTGCACAAATAGCGGACAGAATTTCACCTCTTTAATTGCATAATATCTGTATTACTTATTCTGTTTCTAAAGGAACACAGCTGCAGAAGGATATTCCAGTGTAGAATTAACCTATGTAACCAATAATGTGGTGTCCAATTCAGTTTCTTTCTATGGTGGATAGTGATTTAGAGATGGAATATAGTGTTTAGTATTTAATTCCTGGCATTTTGGATCCACCCAGAATAAGTGAAATGAAGAGGAACTTAAAATTAACATGGAATAAATCCATAAAGGTCAAGGCAGAAGTCATCCGAACACAATATTAAATGGAAGTTTAACTCCAGGGGAAAAAAAATCTTTCATTACAAAGGTTCCTTCTGAATTTAGAATACTTTCCTTTTTAATCAATAATTCATTTAGAGGTTACAAAACTACTTTGTAACCTGTAGTTACACTGTACTGGATTCTGTTGTGACTGTGAGGTGAAAGTTTTTATAATCTGTTGAAGTTCTGTTCCTGGACATAAATTTTGTGTGCAGAAGTACAGATTTTTTTTATAGTCAGAGCTACAGATGAGAGAACGTCAAGCTAAACGTGTTCTCAAGAGAGAGGGGCTGTAGTTCCAAATGGACCAGCTTCCTTTAGAAATGGAATTCTCCTTGATGAAAAACAGATTGCATGAGTGCCCTTGTTCGTATGGGAAAGTTTCTGATTGTGGCAGATGTTTGTTTGAAAAGCATGAAAATGCAGTCTAGAATAATCACTGTAAATTTATTCTGCTCAGCTTTATGGAAAATATTAAAACCTGTTTGAATATATTAGAAGAAATAAGTCTGTTTAAGGAAAAGCAACTTAAAGTGAGAAAATCTGTAATTTTAAGTTCATTTTTTTTTATTGTTCTGCTTAAAAGAAATTCAGTTTGCTATCCATATAACTGTTTATGAATAATCTTTGTCTAGTAAATAGTCATGCTTTTGTTTGTTCTCTCTTCTATTAATGTATGTTTGCCTGCATTGTTTTCTACATAGAATTTTAGCACACCCTAGTGGACAGTTTGTATTTTTCAGTTTACACAGTTTCCATTTTGTGATGATGTTATATTAAGACAGTTGTGCAAATTGCTACTGCTTCTAGTTCCCAACGTTTAGACTGGGATTTTCAAACTAGTCTAGGGAAACTAGGTGCCCAAAGCTGCAGATGAGCCTCCTTTAAGCTCTTTTGAGAATCCCAGCATTAGGTATCTGCTGTGCTGAATAGAAATAGTAAGCAAGGATAATTAGGATATTTTGGACCCTCCTAACTCCGTTCTGTGAATCTGACCTTCCCAGAGAGAAATAAGTGATGCCTTCTAATTTCTCCACTTTAGTTTTGGTACAGGAAGTCATTCTAAATTTGTATGTTGAATTATTTTTAATTAGAACTAGAAGTTATCTGTGTACACCATGCATATCTTGTGTATTTACTTTTGTTGAAATACATTGGGAAAATACTGGATTTTTATTCTCTTTTCACAGAACGAGGGTGAAGATTTCAGTTATGTCATTGCGTTTTTCCTTGGAACAGCAGCCTGCTTGTATCAGGTAAATTCTTCCTGCTCCATATTGCAATAGTCTTCAGAAGCATTATTTAGTCGTGTACAAATGTTATCAAGTTTTCTTAAATATTGTGTATATTTGAATGGATTGACTTTAAGAGTTACCTCTGCTCTTATTTTGGTGGTGATGAGAGATCACAGCATGGATTCACGCCTACATGCTTGATTCTGGGCTATTTTTTTCTGGGATTGTCTTTTCCCAGTTAGTTTATCGAGATAGGGATGTGTTTGTCTCCTTCGGGAGGCTGATATTAGGATTGCTGTATGATTCAGCATAATAGAATCATAAAAGTTAAAGATGAAACTGACATTTTAGGTCCCTTTTTTCCATCTTCCTGGGCAAATACAGATTTTGTTCCTACAGTGTTATTCCCAGGTTAGCTTGTAAATGTCACAAGGGATAGAGAATCGTTCACTTCTCCAAAATGACTATTACGCAGGCTAATACATCTCACCATCTGGAAGTTTTCCCTGATACGCAGTCTTCCTTTTCCTCTCCTCAGTGTTATCTCACTATTCCTCGTTATACAGTCTTTCTATCCCACTGAGTAATTCTTCTCCTTCTTTCATATTTGTGCTCTTAATAGATTGTTAAATTTTTAGCAAATCCCTCTTCTCTCTTAGTTGTTGCTTAGCTAAACTATACATAATTAGCTCTCTGTCGTTCCATATAAGTCAATTGTCACAGTCCCTTCATAAGCATTATGGCTGTTCACTGAATTCTTGCTAATTTTTGCTTATCTGTCTGGTATTGATGAGCCCAAAACTAAATGCACTATTTCAAGTGTGGTCAGTTTTGAGACTATCACCTCACTGCTTCATAACATAATGTGTGTTCAGTCAGAAATCTCACTTCCTCTTTTGCTGCTATATTACATTGCTTACTTGTACGTAATTGCTGTCAACTACAATCCCTTCCATAAGTGTCTTTCAGCAGTACTGAAATCCATTGTCTTGCATTTTTCCAGTTTACATCTTTTGTATCTTCTGATAATATTTCTAACCACACTAGGTCCAGTTGCATTGTTGTCTGTTCTCAGTGACTGTATTTCCTCTCAGATTAGCAACCATTCTGAAGTTCATAACATATTGGCCACCTCCTCTCGAAGATTATTAGTAAAAATGTTAAATAAGATCACAGCTAATGCCACACAGAAGAACACCCCAACTTGATACATTATCATGTATCTTTACCCTTTGTTTGCAGTCCTCCAGCCACTTTGCACTTCATATGATAATGCTCTTGTTCTACTATGTGATGATCTTCACTCAGAAATTTAATCTCACTAGATTATTGGGATTTTTCCCCATACAGTGTGACTCCCCAATCCATACAACGTATCCATCTTTCATGTATTGCTGTTTATTAATTTACAAGAAAACGGTTACAGTCAAGTTGTACTGGCCAAAAATTGGACCTAAATGGAATAGGAATTTAGTGCTAAATGTTAAACGAATAGTGAGGTATTTACAGAACTCCATTGATATTTGTCTTCCACCACATTTCAGGAATACCCGTTATGTCAAGGTCCTTTTCCATTGCCTGGTATTTTAATTTACCTAGTTTTGCTCTTCAAGAGTCTTGCATTGATATAGTACCTTGACATTTATAGTTTCTATTTTTGGCAAGGTAACTATTATTCTTGGTCTGGCACCAGTCTAACTGGCCCAGAACTTACTTCTGTGATCTCAACCTGTCACTTGTCTAGGTCAGCTGTAGTTTCTGTCCTTTCTTTTACAGGACACAGCCTTTGTACAGTAACTCCTCACTTAACATTGTCGTTTATATTCCTGAAAAATGCTACTTTAAGCGAAACTATGTTAAGTGAATCCAATTTCCCCATAAGAATTAATGTAAATAAGGGGGATTAGGTTCCAGGGAAATGTTTTTTTGCTAGACAAAAGACTAATACACACACACACACAGTATAAGTTTTAAACAAACAATTTAATACTGTACACAACAATGATGATTGTGAAACTTGGTGGAGGTGGTGAAGTCAGAGGGTGGGATATTTCCCAGGGAATGCCTTACTGCTAAATTATCTAGCACTTGACTGAGCCCTCAAGGGTTAACACGTTGTTAATGTAGCCTCATACTCTATAAGGCAGCACGAATGGAGGGAGGGGAGACAGCATGGCAGTGAGAGAGAGACACCGTGTGTGTGTGAGAGAGAGACGCACATTGCCCCTTTTTAAGTAGATAAGCAAGCTGAGACAGCAGCTGCTGCCAGCAAGCTCCCTCTGTCCTGAGGCCTGTTGTGTCCCCCCCGCTCTGTGGAGATGGGGTAAAAGAGTGAGGCGGGGGAGGGTGTCATAAATATAGAGAGAGGAATAGCATAAAATCCCTCCTTGGCCGCTGTACTCCATTGCCTTACCTGTAAGGGGTTAAACAGTTCAAATAACTTGGTTGGCACCTGACCAGAAGGACCAATGTTCTCTTTTGTTGTTCCGTCTCCGGATGGAGGGAGAAGCCAAACAAGTATATCATCTCCTGAAAATATACCTGGAATAATCCATCTAAAACCACAGAAATTGTAAGTAGGGCAGGGGTTCTCAGACTTCTGTACTGGTGACCTCTTTCACACAACAAGCCTCTGAGTGCGACCCCCCCCTTATACATTAAAAACACTTTAAAAAATATATTTAACACCATTGTTAATGCTGGAGGCCAAGCGGGGTTTGGGGTGGAGGCTGACAGCTCGCGACCCCCCATGTAATAACCTTGCGACCCCTTGAGGGGTCCCGACCCCCAGTTTGAGAACCCCTGAAGTAGGGCAAGGAAATGCGTTCGGTTATCTTTTGGTTTGGCTTGTGAATTTTCCTATGCTACAGAGGGAGTTTTATTCCCGTTTTTGTATCTGTGAAGCTGAGCCCAGAGGGGAATCCTCTGTGTTTTAAATATTTTTATTACCCTGTAAAGTTTCCTTCCATCCTGATTTTGCAGGTGTGATTCTTTGACTTTTTTCTTTATAATAAAGTTCTTCTTTTAAGAACTTGATTGATTTCAGTGTCCTGAAGACAAAGGGTCTGGTCTGTGCTCACACTGCTAAGGCAATTAGTTGGTATATTATTCTCAAGCCTCCCCAGGAAAGGGGGTTAAGGGGTTTGGGGGGATATTTTGGGGGAATAGGGATTCCAAGTGACCCTTCCCTGAATTTTTGTGTAAATCACTTGGTGGTGGCAGCAATACCATCCAAGGACAAGGAAAGAAATTTGTGCCTTGGGGAAGTTTTAACCTAAACTGGTAGAATATAAGCTTAGGGAGTCTTTCATGCGGTCACCACATCTGTACCCCAGAGTTCAGAATGGGGGGGAACCCTGACATTAGCACCCCTCTTCTCCCCCTCCCCACCCCCTGCACAGCAAGCAGGAGGCTCCTGGGAGCAGCTCCAAGGCAGAGGGCAGGAGCAGCACATGGCAGTGGGGGGAGGGACAGCTGAACTGCCTGGCAATTGATAGCTTGCTGGGCGGCTGCCACACAGGGAACTTAGGGGAGCTGATAGGGGGGCTGCTGGTCCACCCTGGTTCCAAGCCCCCACCAGCTAGCTCCAATGGGCTGCTCTTCCTGCAAGCAGTGGACAAAGCAGGCAGCTGCCAAACAACGTTATAAGGGAACATTGCGCAACTTTAAACGAGCATGTTCTCTAATTGATCAGCAACATAACAACATTAACTGGGACAACGTTAAGTGAGGGAGTTGCTGTATTAGTGACATCTCTCTAGCAAATGTCTTTTTACAACTTGAGTGCTCTTCTGCACCTGTTGATTTTTCATCAGTCCCTACCTTAAATAATCTCCCCACAAACATTATTTTCTTTGCCAGCAGTCTAGTTTCATTTTGGATAAGGTGGAGCCGATCCCTTCTGTAGAGGGTGCCCTTCCCGCACATAAATTTCCCAATACCTCAAAAATTGAACCCCCTCTTCTTTACATAATTTCTCATCTGTGCATTGCAACAGCGGAGTCCCACCCCCGCCCCCAGCATACTTGCTGACCCTCTGAGTGATGGAACTGGAAACGTTGCAGAGAAAGTGACCCCAGAAGCTCTGGATGTATAAACCTTTTCCTAGTATTCTAAACTTAATTTCCAAGACTTCTCTCCTATATCCGTCTGTGTCATTATTACCAAAATGCAGTTAGCCCTCTTTGCTCCCCGAATCAAGTGTCAACGACATGGCATGTTTAAGACTATCCTGGCATGGAAGTTATTTCTAAGTCTATATCGGGGTCTGAAACTCGCGGCCGGCCTGCGGAGTTATTTGCTGCGGCCTGCCAAGCTCCCTGCCCCCCTGGAGTTATTGCCTGCGGCTGCCAAGCTCCCCTCACCTGCCGCCCCCACGGCGTGCTGTGTTCCCCACTCCTCTGCCTACCTGCAGGCGCTTCCCACCACTGAACAGCTGTTGGGCGGCGCTTAGCGCTTTCCAGGAGGGTGGGGGGAGGAGCGGGGAGCCGTGCTTTCAGGAGAGGAGGCAGAGAAGAGGCAGAACAGGAGCGGGGATTTGGGGAAGGAGTTGGAATAGGGGCAGGGAGGGGGCGGAGTTGGGGTGGGGACTTTGGGGAAGGGGTTGGAATGGGGGCGGGGAAGGAGTGGGAAGGGGCGGGGCCTCATGGAAGGGGCGGGGTGGGGGGGCTTTTGTATCTTTATATGAAAAAGTGTCAGTGATGCGGCCCTCGGGTCAATGTACTAGTCCCCATGCGGCCCTCGTGGTGATTTGAGTTCGAGATCCCTAGTCTAGATCTTGCATGAAAGCGCATTGCATTGCTGTTCAGCCATAGGACTGGCCTAATGTTTTACATTTTGTTCAGTTAATACTTCAGAAAAAAATGAAGTTTATTAATTTACAAGAAAATGGTTACAGTTAAGTTGTACAGGACAAAAATTGGACCTAAAGGGAATAGAAATTTTTAGTCCAACATGTTAAACTAATCACTGTGCTGCCAGAAAGATTATACTTTACTTTACTAACTATTGCTTAGCAAAGA